CCTGCTGTGGGCCCAGCAGTGCAACATCAGGCATGGGTACAACCGAAATGCAGAGCCAGGCACAGTGCTGCAGCCACAGCTGCGATTCATACAGGGTCTGAGCTTCCCCAAGACCTCAGGGATTATCCTCAGGTGCCTGGAGATGTGCTTTTAAGCGTTAAGTTCTCAAGTGCCTTACATGGCAGGGTAAGCAAGGATGTGGGCTGAGGAACCACTAGACGATCCTTTTCTTCTCACTTCACCTGCCCCTGTTATGCTGACAATAATGCACTGTGGCATTTTTCACAGGAATCTAATGAAAAATTTGTTTTTCTTTCAGCTATGATGAATGCGTGGGGCCAGGAGCAACGCAAATATATATTCCCACAGATGATCCCCCCCCCTATTCCCTTACGGACCCCTGTCAAAGAAATGAAATATCTATAAACATCAGCCGGGAAGAGGAGGAAGCAGCAGCAGGGACTGCAGGGCAGGCAGCACACCACGCCACCAGGATACAGGGCTGGCAGCAGCCCATCCCATCCATCTCTCTGTCGTCGCTCCCCACAGAGGCTGCTCCCCGGTACGAAGCTGTGATGTGTGAGCACAGCATCCCCATCCCGCTGGTGCCAGTGGAAGTACTGAAAAACTCTCCCTCTGACTATCAGACCGTTCTGAGCCAAATCCTGTGAATAAAAGGGGCTTTCTCCTTCCATCTTTCTGAAGAACTCAGACTGAGAAAAAGAAGACATTTAAATGGAAGAATAAAACCTCTTAAAGTTTTACCTATTTTATATCTTTACTAAGGGATGTAATGGGATTGTTTTTTATTTTTTACAGTGAATTTTGAATGTTTACCTAAACTTCCCTCTTTGTGCTTCAAAGTGTTCCATGGCGTCACGTAGCACAGGACAGCAGCACTGAGGAGCAGTGCTATGGCCTTCCTGAAGCATCTCAGATCTCACTGACATTGCCACTCAATGTATATATATGTATATATGTTATCTAGTCAAGCTTACTCCTCGATTTGATGATAATGTGCATGCTTTGGAACAGAAGGAAGGAGAAGAGCAGTTCTTGTCTTTGTAGGTGTCAGTAGTACACTTTATCCAGTGTCTTGGCAACAAAGCATTTTTTAAAAATTCTTTTTCTAAATATGTATTTCCACAGACAGAAACAGAACACAGCCTGCAAAACATGATTATCAGCACCCTACAGAAGCCAAATAAAAAAGAGGAATCTTTTGATACCCATGTTTTTCCCTCAGATACCCCAGCCAGTTCCAAAACCTGCTGTAAATCTCTCACAAAGTCAGGAACAAGCAGCAGGAGGGTAGCAGTAGCTGACCCGACAGCAGCTGCTATGCCAAGGGCACTGCGCCCAGCTGTGAGGGCCCAGGGCTGCACACCCCTCACTTGGCACAACTGGAACCTTGAACTCCTTCCAACATGCCTACACTGTCAGGAACTTCAGTTATGAGCCCGCAAGATTAAGAAAGGACCTCCAATAACTGAAGAAGAGTGAAGTAAATAGTAGATGCTGGCTTTGGCATGCTCAGTAATGGAGAAACTCACTATGTACAGAAACTCCTCATATTAGACGTGACCCTCCTCGCTGACATTTTGCTGTTCACATTAGCCACAGGTCATAGGCTTGGACTCTCATGTGCTCATCTGATGAATGTGGGGAGGTGGGGATGAGTGCTCACGGAAGCAGCAGGAGGAAGCCACAGAAATGAGGTTCATGCTGCATGTTACATGCAGTCTCCACTTAAGGACCTCAACCAAGTTTTCCTCAGCACAGTTATCAGAGGTGCATCTGCACTAAATCTCTTAGAGATGTTCTCACTGAAAAAATGGGTAATTTTTACACTGATAAAATGGACTTCAGGTTATTACCCCCTCTAGAGATAAGTAGAAAGGAATATAAGCAAACATATTACCGTATTTAACAGCAAATATCGTTCAAAATATTAAAATCACATTTCAATTTTCTGTAAATAGTAAATAACTTCCAACAGTAATCATTACTCAACACTCCAAAGTTCGATGCAAATATAATTAATATATAAGTTGGGAAATAATCATTTGGTCCTTACTGCTCTGTAAATCATACCATTATTGAGTCATAAGCACATGATGGAATCAGATAAGTATGCATTTTTTTCAAGCAGATAACAGTAAACATGTATTCTGCTAAAAAAAAAAAAAAAAAAAAAAAAGAAATCTTTTGCAGATCTATGAAGTTCTCAATGTATTATACCCAAAACAACAAAAACTCACAATTCTGCATTGCAAAATAAGTTGGTGGACACTGCAGAATTTCGACTACATTCAGTACTTGTATCTTTAATGGATAGAGCTATTCTGTATGAAGTACCAGTGGAGACAGTTCTGTGGCACACAAGGTATCCCGCAATAAGACACAGAATGCTGCACTACCAATAGGGCCAGAAGAAAAAGCCAACACAGAAGTTCAGCAGCCAGCTTTATTGGCAGGAAGATAAGAAGTGAAGGGAAGCACAGGAAGAACAGGACATGCAACTGGGACAGACCAGAACTGTGGGCTGATGCTGGGAGCTGGAGAGGGAATCTAGCAAGTATCAGAAGGTAAATGGGATTTCAGTTTTTGAACGTGTGTCTTTCCTACCTGTACAGCAAAGCTGGGAGCTCTGCTGAAGATAAGCCATTCACAAGTGTCTGCTCTGTTATACAAATGCATCCAGTTTCTGTGTACTGTGGGCAGTGCTTCTGTCTGGCTGTTAACCTGACATGGATTTCAGGCCCTGCCACTACCTTTATATCAGAGGAAAATAGTAATTTGATTTGTACAGAATAAATTTATTTTAAGCAGACTTTTGAGGAAAACGGGAGATTTATATTTCACCTCACAACAGAACTGCTGTACTGAAATTACAGTAGATCAAATCAAAGTTGTTCCCCATTTGAGGACAGGCACAGCAGCACTGAGAGCTGCCTGCTCCTGCACTGTGCTGCACTGTGGGGCGGTCGCCTGTCACACAGCACAGAGCACACAGCGGGGCTCAGCCACCCAATGACCAACCAAAGCACTCCGTATTTCGGATCCCTGATAGATTCCAGCAAAATGGGCAGAGCACCTCGAGAGTACAAGTCAGCACCCATTAAACTCAGAAGAAGTTCCCAGCCGCTTATCAGACCTTAAACTCTGGTATCATTGTAATGATAATCTTAAAGCCAAGCTGAAAGTAGGCCTTGTGTTTATTACATGATTAATAGGAAAACACAGACTGCTTGGAGATGCTGTTTCTTACCTACAAGACAGCAATGCTGTATTTCTGTAGTCACCTCTTCTGCTTTGATTTTTGGTATATGGATCTTCGCATACAACTTTTATTAAAGAACGCACCCATACTCAGTGAGCTTCCGTGCTTTTATTGTGCAAGTATTGCCCTCAGGTGAAGCATCACAAACCACCACAAACACATGCAGAGGTACCTCAGACTAAGGTCAGGAGGGGAGGGAGGAGCAGGTCAGTAACAGGTTGATGTTTCCCCCCTTTTTCAAATAGATAATTCTCAAGCACAGTGAGATGAGTAATGTATTTCCTGAGCATGACCCACCTCCAACTCCAACTGCTCCTCAAACAGGCTGACAACAATTCCCACCTAGGGAAACAGACTTCACATGGAATTACAACCACAGGCTCTTAAAGTTACTGTACAAGAGCGTTCATCCCTTCTCCTCTGCTCACAGCAATGCATGTTTCAACACCAGCTTGTGAACTCACAACTGTGTGGTAAATTGCACGCAGCTCCACATGCACAAGCATTCTCACTTCTACCAAAGCAAGAAAAGCCAAGAAGCAAAACTGTACAGGCACAAGGAAAGTTTTAAGGAACCCAGAGGCATGCACAGCAGCCCATTTGGGCTTTGGGTCCTTGATCCTCCTCATTTTTCTCATATTGTTCCAAAAGCAGTCCTCTGGCAAAATCAGCCCAACTGCAATGGAGGGAAAAACAAACAAACATAAGGCAACAGCAGGGACACGGCTTGATGCAATGCACTGGGTACTGGTATCGTGCCTTTCAAATTCCAAGCAAACAGCAGCAATCTGTACAGCTGTTAGTGCCCCATCCCTTCCTTCTGGGCTCTGGGCCGTGACCAGCACCCTGCCTGCCCCGTATTGAAAAGTGAAATTCTCAGGGGAAAAAGAAAGAAAGAAAGAGAAAGGAGGGAAAAAAAAAAAAAAAAAAAAAAAACACAAAAAAAAAACACCAAAAAACGCCAGAGTAACAAAACGCAGCCATTTTTCTACACGACAGAGAACAGCAGAGGCTGAAGCATCCAGTGCCGCTCGCAAGCCATCTAGAGCCACGCGCCGGCCCGAGTGGCGCCGCGTGGCGGCTCGGGGAAAGCCGCTCTGCTTGTAGCACCTCGCGGCCACCGCCTGGGAGACAGGAAAGTCTTCGGCCAGCGAGCCTGAGACGTGTGCCGGGCACAGAGCCGGACTTCCCAGCGGGGAATCCATGGTAAGACCTACCGTGCAAGCCGTACCGAGACGCGACCTACAGCACCACGAAGGCACGCAGTGCGCGGGCTGAAACTGCTCTGCACAAAGCCGAGGTAGGGGGAAGCCCGCACCGCACCGCACCGCACCGCACCGCACCGCACCGCACCGCACCCATCTATGGAGTCACACAGCGCAAAAGGCAGAGCCCAAAAACCGAGACCGGCAACGCCATTTGCACAGGAGCCGCCCGAGCTCGGCAGAACGCGAATCGAGGCCGCCTTACCTGAGCTCGGAGGCCGCTGCAGCGCCGCCCTCACACGACGACCATCACCGCGACCACGCTGCCGCCTCGCGGCGCCCATCCCTCACACTACGCCGCCGCGCTTCCCGCGCTAACTCCGCCCTCGCGCCACCGCTCGCGGCGCGCCCGCCCCCGCAGCGCTACCCGAAGGCCGCCAGGGGGCGCCCTCCGCCGCCTTTCGCTTTCGGTTCGCGGCCTCCCGCCCCGCGGGCGGACGGACGGGCCAGGTCTCCAGCGGGCGGGGTGGCGGGAGGGCGGCCCCGCGCCGCCATGGAGGAGCCGGCGGCCGAGGAGGAGGAAGGGGTGCTGCGGGACTACCTGGCCTACTACGCGGCCCGGGGGGCGGAGGGGCGGCTGGTGGCGTGCGACGAGGCCACCCTGAAGGCAAGGGCGCGGCGGCTGCCGGAGCGGCGGGGCGCGCTGGACGTGCGCGGCGTGGCCGAGCGGTGCCGCAGGGCCCGCGGGCGGCGGGGCGGCAGCGTGCTGCGGGACCTGCTGAAGGCGCTGGAGGTCCTGGAGCTGCTGTGCGTCAACTTGCTGCTGTCCCCGTGGAGGAAGGAGATCAGGTCGCTGAAGGTAGGCGGCGCGGCCTGCCCCAGGCCTTTCCCCGGCGGCGCGGGGCACCGGCGAGGCGTTTCGGCTTGGTGTCGATCCTCCGGAATGGCCCTGAGCCCGGGCATAACGCGTGACACCGCGGCCCGGAGCTCGGCCCCAGGAAGCTGGCAACGCTGTGTCCGAAGGCAGAAGCCGCGCGAGGTGCTCGGTCTGACGGCCCCGCGCTGCTGCTGCGGTTGGCCGAGCTTACGGCATCCCTCAGCAGGAGGGTTATGGCCGAGCCGAAATCCACTTCGATTTTACAAACTGGGCCTCGTGCCTTCGGTAGCTCCGAAACAACACGTTAAACTTTTCTCTTTTTTTCCCGCTCTGTTAGGCAGCAGCACTTTAGACAAGTCATGCTGGGAGGGCAGCTCGTGCGACAGGAGCACGTTTTGGCACTGTTGTTTCCCCCGAATAACCTCAGCGCAGAAGGGTGCTTTCAAAGTGACCTAGTTCCAGGAAAGCAAAGTTAGAGCAGCACTCTGAATCACTGAGAAAAAAAATGATACGCTGCTGTCACCCGTTAAGAAATATGAGTAACAGCAAGTGCATCTCTTTAAGAGAAGTTAAACCTCGGTGATTGATTCCACAGATCCTCTGTTGAAAAGGTCTTCTTGTTCTTCAGTAGAATGCAGGACTCACATCCAAACGTCTCTAGTTTGATTAAAGTGATTTTCCTTTCTCTCCTTTTCTGCATATTGATACTCTTGGCTGATACCTTACCAGTTTTAAACTGGTGTAACATTGTTATGCTACAGCAAGTGCTTGAGAGGCTGGCAAAATAACACTGTTAGAAAGGCCTCGCTCAAACTCGCACCTCAAACTTCCAACAAAATAGTTTTTAAAAAGATTGAAGTAATTTTTGAAGTAGTTTTGTTCTTATGGAGTCTTTCACGCTTCCCCCATCCCCACCCCCACCCTTCATCTGTTTTTCACTGTTCCGTTCTGTTGCAGACATTCACCGGTAATTTTGTCTACTATGTTCAATCTGTGCTCCCAGATGACATAGTAAAAACCGTACTGGAGAAAATAGGTTACATTGCAACAACGGCAACAGAGTTTTCACTTGTCAGAAAGAGAAACAATGAGGAAACAAAACAGACTGCCTTTGAAATATTTCTGGCAAGAATTGAGTGTGAAACCATCCTCGAAATGACAAATGAAGAAAAACATGGCAATTTGGAGAAGACTTTGCAGAAGAGTTCACAAATACACTGGCATCACAAAAATAAGGACAGAGAGGATCAGACGCCCCAGAGAGAAGACTGTGAAAATCTAGAAAAGAAAGAAAATAGTGAAACGTCTTTGTGCCTTGCTACTCAACAGAAGTCTTCACCTAGTAGCAGTATGTCCTTTGAAACCACTCAGGATCTGAAGATCAAAGATGATGCTCCTCACTTAGCAGTGACTCAATCCACTAACAGGCTTCAGGAACACCAAAAGCAAATCATTAACACAGTACACTTTCCGGGCAAATGCTCAGACAGCGAGGACTTCTTGATCAAATATAGTGACATTGTCATAAGACAAACACCTATTTTCAGTGAGAATCTTTCTCCAGAAGCTTTTGAAAAAAAGCCAAGAGCCAGTCTAAGTGAGGAATGTGTTTTGGCAGCCACTGCCCAGTCAACTGCAAATGAGCTCTGGTCAGTGCCGCTCTCGCCAGGAGCAAGCGGTCCACCAGCCTTTGCAATATTTGCTGACAGCACTTGTGAAAGTAAAAGCTCTTCAGAGTACGAAGCTCAACAAGTGGCTGAAGAGTCAATTGAAGCAAAAATTAATGATGCCATAAACTGTGTAGACCCAGACCCTGCAGACAAACCCAATGAGCTGAAGTCTCTGCCGTACACGGATTTCACATCAGTCCAAAACTGCCCCGTCCCTAGGGAAGAGGAAGTCTGTGATCTGTCTTTAACCTTCACAGAACTACAAGTCCAGGACACTCAGGAAGATCTGATGTATCCAATAGAGGAAACTGGGCACCCTGAGTCACTATCATATGCAAGTGACAGGAATGTAAGAGAACTGAATCATTCCAAAATGAAATGCACATACTCAACTAATGCTGAAATGCAGAACAGAGCAGCTGCATTTATTGAGCCATCTCCGGATCTCTGCCGTACTTCTGGGAGCGTGGAGGATCCCACTGGTGGCTCTGATGGCAAGGGACTATTAAGGGGTACTCTGAATGCACCTAGGGCTTCTGAGTGCTTCAGGCACATCAGAGAGCCTCCTAATCCCACCTACATTCCACCACAAAGTATTGATGTTCGGTCTCCAAGCAGAAGAAGCACCGGTGCACAGGGCAGAAGGAACCTTCTGCAGCCTGACAGTGAATCCAGTGAAGTAAAAGCAGAGAACTATAATTTAAAAGTAAATGAAATCCAGGAGCCTTATGTTATTATTGACAAAACTGACCAAGGAATGTTGTGCTAGCACACTTGATTCTAGCAGTGCTTTATTTGTAATTTGCCTGGGGTTTCCCTGCCCTAGTTGTGGCCTTGATCATCTTTTCAGAAGAGATAATTAGCTTTGACAAAGCTAATCATAAACAAACAAAAACACCACCACTTTTGGACAGTAAACATTGAAGTAATTGAGAAAATTCTTAAACAGCTCTTTCCTCATGAAATCACTCCATTTAATTCATTAACCAGATTCCATCTGGCTCTAATTAATGCCCGAGGCCTATTTTTAGAATATGGCATGCTGTACAATGACAGGAACAGGTAAACATTTCAAAACTGGAAGGCTCTATAGTGTTACAAGTGCTGTGCTGGAGTGTAGTTCTGTTAGCTCGTGGCATTCCTGTGAAGCTGTATTCTGAGCTAATCTTTCTTCTATTTTCAGTTTAAAGATAAGCTTAGAAAATCAGTATTCTCTAAATTAGTACAAATTGTCTATACCTGACTTTCATCCTCCTGAAATGTGTAGAAGAGCGGGCGGATTATACCAGAAAAGTCTCAGGAGCTAAAATGCTTTTTGAATAACTAATAGCTGGAGTGATCAGTGATCACCTGATTCCAGCACAGCAGGAGGAATGCAGCTTTGACTGAACAAACACCAAATGACAAGACTTCAGCTTTGGATGGTGTTAATGGGTGGGTGAAAAAAGTATTACAAATATGCATACAGAAACTAATATTTCTGCACTGGGTCTGGCTGGGATGAAGTTAACTTTTTTTAACAGAAGCTATGTGGTGGTGTTTAGGACTAGTTGCTAAAACTCTTGATAATGCACTTGCATTCTGGCTGCTGCAGAACAGTGCTTGCACAGCATCAATGCCTTCTCTTCCTTACTCTGGCCCCCACTCCAGTGATGGTGGGCAAGAACCTAGCAGCTGGAACAGCTGACTGGATTTAGCCAAAGATATTCATACCAGATAGCATCATGCTCAGCAATAAAACTGAGGTAGCAGAAGTTTTTGGTTTGTGGTTTCTTTTTCGTCTACCTTTGCATCACTTGTTCTTTTCTTCCTCTCCTACTCCTCCTTTCACCAATTAAATATCTCAAACCAAATTCTTGCTTTTGCTCTTCTGGTTCTCCTGTTTTGCAGGAGGTTGAGCAAACCAGCTGTGTAGGTGCTTAGCTGCTCACTAAGTGAACTCACCACAACCTCCTTGTTCTTTCAACTATTTATCTGTTCTTCCTAACCATTTCAGTTTTTATAAGATGTATTTTCCCCCCGTAGGGTAATTAAAATTGTGTTTTAAATAGTATGTTGTGTCAAATATTCAGGAAATCTATAAACTGAAAAATCCCTTCTCATCACATATAAAGATTCCTCATAAGTATTTAGCTGACCACCAGTACTATATAGACCCATGTACCTAACATGCCATTTTTACCTTTGCTGTAGCCACAGGAGTATTTAACAGCAAGTTACACATGAAAAAACAATGCTAAAGTTGGTTTCCCAAGAAACTAAAGACTACCACTTGAAACACCCCATATAAACAGCCAAGCTGCACAGAACATACGGAACATAAAACAACTGAAACAACTGTGTTCTGAGACTCTACTTTTTGTTAACGCTTTTGTTAATTGATTGAGGCAGAACCTCTGTGGTAGATTGGCCAGGACTGCTAAGTATGCATTCAGCCTGCATTTGGAGGGAGAGCTGCTATCACCTTAAAATGCTCACAGTTACTTTCAAATATGGTCTTTCTGCTGCAAAGACACCTTTTCTTCCTGTATGAACAGTAGGCTTCTGAGGTCTTGTACTAGAAGGTACTTGACTTGCAAATTTCTGCTGTCTCTAGAGACAAGTTTTACAGTTAAGATACCTGTGAAAAGACTGGATTTGAAAACAAGCTGAAAGAAAAGACAAGTCATATTTAACATGCCTTTGCCATCAGCCCTCTGTACAACTGCTTCCACATGGGCAAGGTACCATGAATAGGGTTTAAAATCCTTGTAAATACAATTAGGTCTGAGACAGAGAGGAGAACATAAATCCTGATGGTGCTCTCCTGTCCCTGGTGCTATTGACCAGTACGCCTCTCCTTGGCTAATTATCTTAAAGAGCAGCAACCACTTAAGCAGCACTGTTAGCCTGCAAGAGAGCTGCCTGAGCCTCAGAGGAGGGTGATTTGTTTATGAAATGTGTGCCTATCCCCTTGTGAGCTGTCAACTTTAATTGTGCTACAGCTGGTGTTGATTGTCAATGAATTGAATGGGGATTTACTGACTGTTTTTATGTCTTTCCATCATAGAGACACAAGGCCAGCTCTGCTCCCAAATCTATATGCTACGCACAACCACTCTGAATGGCTCAGCTCTCCCAAGCTTCAAATTAGAGAAATTCTCTTTTGATCAGTGCAGAAACAGAGCTTAGGCAGCAGACCCAGAAGCTGGCTGACATTCAACTGCACCACCTCTCCCTGACGGGTCTGTTTAGATAGTCATTTTCCCTCCCCTTAACATTCCTGTCACACATATAAACTTGTCCTGTCTAGAGCTAAGGTGCTTAACAAACACAGTTTGGCTTTAGAGTCAACTTTTTGTGGGTTTTTTTGTTTGTAAAGCTAGTAACGTAAACTAACTTTCAGCATGAAAACAAACAGCATGCAGGCACTGAATGAACAAAGATTTACAATTTGCTTCAAATTATAAATGAAGATCTTCAAATACAAGTTGTCTGCTGAGACATAAACAAAAGCATACCTAAGAGAGTCTGAGAAGGGCTTGCAAAGATAAATGTCTATACTGTTCTGAGTGGTCTCCAAACCAGCAAAAGAAAACAAAACCAAAACCCACACAATTTCTAAAACATAACATTTATTTATTTAACTTTACTTGTATCTCAACACTGGGAAAGTTATAACCTGTAATCCACTGTCACCACTAAAGGCTCCATCCAGTGAAAGTTAATTGGCACTGTTCTCTTAAGTGAGACAGCTGATAAATCCTAAAGGTTTCCTTTTCACAGCATTAAACATTACAACTCCCTTCAGTAAGGACAGAAATGGAACAGAATGGAACAGCAGCATGTGCAAAGCAGCCTACTTACAGTAAAAGTCCTAGCAGCTTAGTATTTATCGTGGGGAGATGTGAGGGAGAAATAAATCACTTATCAGACAGAGGGATCACCTCAAAGCCCCCTGACGTAAGAATAAATAAAATCAAGCAGTGTGGTACACAAGTAAAAACCAGAGCTCCTCTGTTGTGTCACTCTTGCCTGACCTTTTGTATGCATTCAGAGAGATCACTCTTACAGGAATACGTTTACACAACAGTTAACCCTTATAGTAATTTTTTGTGTTATTTTAGGATAAGCCAGTTTCTCTCACAAAACAAACAAACAACAAAAAAAACAGATAAATGGCATCTGGACAAAACATTATATTTCTCTTATGTAGGAATTAATCTTAGAGCTACTTTTTTGTTCTGAGACTAAACTTTTTAAAAACTTGCAACTTATGCAACTCAAAACACAAATAACTCAAATGCTGCAATTTACCAAATGCTGGGGGGAAAAAAAAAAGTAAAAAACCATAATCCTCACCTGACTTTAACCTGCTTTAGAAAAGCACAGTAATTACTTCAACCTCCATACTCTACAGGAAGGACTAGATACTGCAATTCCTCAGGCAGGACAGTAACTCACTACGAGTCATTATTTGCAAGAGCACAGAGAGCTTCAGGTCCAAACATTTTAATTGCAACTGATGGCAGAATACCCAGACTCTGCAGGAGGAAGAGCACTGAAAAAGAGATGTTGGATTAGTTCCTGCTGTTGGCAGTAGTTCTGCATGCTAATTACACCAGTGAACACAATTATCATCTTCTTAGGCTTAGGCTTCTTAGGACCTACAGTTTTGGAGATTCACCTCCAAAATGTTTAATCAAATAAGATATAAACATCTCCCCGTGCCAGAAGAGAGCACACAGAAGGCCAGATGAAGAAAATATAATGTTTAACATTTTAATTTTTGCCAGTCTGTCTCTTCAAGTCAGTTTGCGTGCTGCTCACAGATGTTCCTGACCCTAGGACACCTCAATCAGAATGAAGTAAATACTGAAGTCTGGAGAAGATATCCATCCAGACCAGGTATGCAATACAGAAAAGAGATAATCAGTTCTCACACAGCTTGCAGTTTAGATGTGGAACTCACTGTGACAGGATATTATGTCTAAATGCTCAGAAAGTGACAAACTTCCAGAATAAAGTTCTGTCAGGGGCTGTTAAACGCAAAGAGAAACCTATGGCTCAGGAAAACAGAGAAAACCTGGAAGAACTTAAAATGGCGAAGAATCACTTCTTGTTAAATGGTTCACATGCCATTCCAAGCTCCCAAGGCAAGGGGAAACTGTACCACAAAGGCTAACTGACTCACCACATTCATTTCTGTGAGGTACTAAATTACTTGCATTTTCTGTACAACAGAATTAAGTGGCTCTTCTCCAGACTGCCATGCTAGCATGCACAATACATACCATTGGCTTCTACAACTCATAATCAGATTGCAATTAACAACAATCTGCAGATGGCTGAAACTTACAGAGCTATTTCTAGAGAGCTTTTTTATCTTTTTTTATTCTCTAAGAGACAAAAAGAGCTTTGAAAGTTTATCAGAATGATTCCAAAATGACCACTACATTCCTGTACAAATAAGCTTCTATAAGATAATTATTTAATACATACAACCTTACTTTTAAGCTAGAATTCTAAACCTTTAGAACAGAACAGAACAGGTTCACAAGCTTCAGCATACTAATGTAGTACTCACTTGGAAATGCACCCTGCACTGATCATTCCTAAGCTGCACTGATTTAAAAAATAAATAAATAAAAATCCCACTAGAAGAAATGAACTCTATCTCCTGACTTGGAAAAAGCTGCAGTCATTTCAGCTACAGCTATCTTCAGGTATATACAGCTTCCATAAAACCACAAAATAAAAGAAGTGTTCACTTTTAAGTAACACATAAAAAAGCCAAGTAACTGAAAATTATGGTCGATAAGTTACAGATGTTCAGGCAGTAAGCAGTGGAAGACAACAATAAGAGGGTAAAGCAGAAGTAAAGAGCACATCAACACTTAAGCAAGTAACCACAAAAATTGAACACCCATTACGTTTCTCTATTTCCCAAACCACAGTAAAGTGATCAAAGAACCACGCACGTTTCCTTATAATAAATAATAAAACAGATCAACCCAGATATTTTTAAGAATCCACAGCAGTTAAGAAATCAATTATTTTCAGTATTTATATCACCGTTTGAAAGGAAATGCAGAGCTCCAAATCCACTGTAGTCCAAATCCACTAGTCCCCAACTCAGCTGTGAGTTTCACCAAAACTAGAGAAATAGGCCCCTTTAAAAACCTGGCCTAGAAAAACCCTCAGAACCACTGTGCCATCAGTTACAAAGACTATTTGACTATTTCTTCACCACTGAATTCCATGGGACTACGCATAGCTACCTTGAGAACTACAGAACTATATTGTGATGTCATGTTTACATGTTTACAGTAGAAACTGAGGTCAGTGAAATGCACCAGTGCAGGCAGGATTACAGAAGGAACCCCTACACACTCTATTTTGACATAACCAGAGCAGTTTAACAAAGCTATTGAACACAGTGCACACCAGGACATCCCATCCTGTGCATGGAACTACTCCTTTACATTACAGAAACAGAACTGTCATGGGGGAGAAGAAAAAAGTTATTTCATAGGAAACAGCAGTGAAATGGGAATGAAAGACACATTTTAACAAAACATGCAGTAAAGGGGATGGAGAACCTAAAAAATTGGAATGGAATTGGGTCATATTCTGTTTATGACTTGTTCCTGAACATTTTGTAGTGAGAAATTCACAACATCCTACAAGGCGTAGTTCTAAAGCAGAAACCACTAAATTCAAAAGTATGACAAATATTCAGAATTGTCTCTGTATCAGACTTCATGAATTATTAAAAAAAAAGTACAACCTAACGGACTTCTACAAATGCTGTTGCATATTACATGGGTTTAGTATTTGGTCCCGGTTCTCTTCATACTTTTCTATCATTTTCTGCACGTCGTGGTCAGCTCCAATGACCTTCAAAACAAAAGCATTAGCATTACAAATAATTAAATCATAATATATATTTGCTTCAGAGCAAAACAGACCTATCGCTGAAGCCAAACTGAAATACTCCTAAAGAAAGCTGTCCAGTCAGTTCTGTGTTTGGAATTTGGCGCTCACTGGAAAGCTGCGTGTCTGATCCTGCTACACAGCACAAATGAACACCCCACTAATTCCACCTCAGAGTTAAAGACCAGACTTCCACTATACACTATGGACAGCTACAAATGTTTTTTTCTCGGGTTATTGACAAAGCAGCTTTATTTACTTTCATCACTAATTAACATTTTTAGTATTGAAAGAATACAATGCCCCACGTGCTTATCTGATTATAACTAAAATTGTACTCACAAGCACTGGGCAGGAAACTTTAAATAACGTATGTTTAATGAGCCACTCTTCGTAGAGCTGATGAATAGCTTCTAAATATTCCTAAAAAAGAGGTGTTCAATTACACACAACACCACCACAACAGTCGGCTATACTACACAGATTACTAAAACAATACTTGGCAAAGTCAGCACGCATGACAGATCATTTTTATACAGCAAATCAAAATTACATGGTGAGGTATTGGAACAGGCTGCCAGGGAGGTGGTGCAGTCACCATCCTGGAGGTTTTCAAAAACAGGGCAGATGTCACACTGAGTACACGGACTAAAGCAGTCACAGGCATGGGCTGATGGTTGGACTAAATGATCTGAGAAGTCTTTCCAACTTCAATGAGCCTACAATTCTAAATACTGAAATATTAATTTGTGATGGAAACTATAACAGAGCACCTCATGTTGGAAACGGCCCCAATGATCACCAAGTCCAAATCCTCCAGACAGCTCCAGTAGATTTTTGAAATACACTCGGGATGTGATTTTAGTATTTAGGTTGGCATTGCTAGAGAGAGTGGTCAGGCACTGCAATGGCTGCCCAGGGAGGTGGTGCAGTCGCCGTCCCTGGCAGTGTTCAAGAGGCTCCTGGATGAGGAGCTGCAAGATGTGGTTTAGTGCTTGTGGGAATGAGCAGACAGTTGGACTGGATGATCTTATAGGTCGTTTCCAACCTTGTGATTCCATGATTCTATGATACTATGTTTTATGCTCACTGTTACCACACATTCTGAAGGAACTCTTTACCAGAGGAATGATTTTCTCTTCTTCTCTGCATCTTCTCTTTAATCTCTCATAACAAACTTCAGGAGATGTCTGCAGGTAAACTGAAGAAGAAAAAAAAAAAAAAAAAAAAAAAGCTATTTAGCTGTATAAGGATAAGCTTTAAAAGCAAAGAGGAAACTTTATAAACTATGGAATTAAAGGATCCCAGTTTAGGCACCACCACTGAACCTCCTCCTTTGGTGTTACTGCTCATCAATCCTCAGAGTATCTGTGCATTCATGCTGTCTGATGCTAAGCATCACAGCCACTATTGTAATGAATAATGTAATTATTCACAGCCAAAGAAAAAAGAAATTTTTCCCCTCACAATAAAGAAACCCACCCACAAATGTGCCCTTCCAGTTCCCATCCAAATTTTACCTATCAAATCAACTGAAACATCGGTGTTGTTCTGGATCCAGTCAAACCATTCAGACAGCACAACATAATCCACCTCTGGCATCTTCCCACTGAACAAACATAAAGATCACCATTCATTAAACAACAGACAAAGATCAGTTCTAAACTGATATGCACTGCTTTTATTTCTTTTAAAACTGACTAGAACTAGTCTGTGTTTATTCCAGCACATGGGAAATGAAGATACAACCAACATTAGAAATATTATAAAGCATTGTTTACACAAAGGCTCTTTTTTTTTCTTTACCTAAACATGCCTACTAGCATGAAGTTTCTATCATTAACAGTTAAAAAAATATTTCCTACTACAGTTAAGAAATAGTTACTTGGTGACTAAGAAAAAACTTTACACTGATGTGTGCTATGATAACAAATGAGTGTCAAGTGTATTTATTGCTCAAGTTCTTTATGTCAGGATCATTTCAAATACATCTGAACTGCATGACACCAGAAAGGCTTGACTGACTAAGCAGCACTGACAATTCATTATAGAAACCAAAGTAAAGAGCAGTGAAAAAAAATAACAATGGAAATACATAATATTCCTTATTAAGAATCACATATTATATTTTTACTGGTATTAGAGTCTTCACATATTGCCATATTCCTAAATACTCAAGTATATTAATTTCTTATT